AAATAATAATACAAACTACTGAAACAAATGAAAAAATAATAAAAACTATACCTAACGAAAACATCAAAAAATATTCCATGAAAGCTGTTTAAAAATCCTTAAAATTGTTATCACCACTCCCTAACATTATAAAATAGTTAACTTTTAATCATTAATAATTTCACTTGGGGTCGGCATAGCCTACTACGTACCATATTGCGAGTAAAGAGAAAGTGCTTGCTTTAGCGTTGAATTTTTCCGACTTTCAAATATCTAAGAATTTACCTTAGTGAAATACGCGTCTACCTAACAATACCTTCATTTTCCAGATTTTTGTTTGCTAAATTAGTAACATTTTTCCAAAAATCAGCGAGATTAATTTGAATAACGTTGGACAATATTATGAAGATTATGATTGTATTTATTATTTTGATCTCCTATTATATGCCCAATCAAACACTCACAAATTAAAGCGTGAGTAGAAGAGCATTTATGATCGCATATTGCAAATGTTAAGATAATAAGAGCTGCAGAACTGAACCACTCACGAACAATTTTTTACAAGGGCGCGTAATTTCTGGCGTATGCAAAGGCCATCAACATCATCGGTAACAAAAACCTTTTCCAAGTTGGATAATGAAGTAAAGCGATTGGGTTTGGTGATCAACGAGGACAAGACGAAGCACCTCCTGCCATCAAACAAAGAGTCAGAGCATTCGCGCATTGGCACCCACGTCACTGTTTTCGACTCGCAATAGGCTGGTGGTAGCAGAGGAAGACGGCGGTGCCCACTGCAATGGAAAGACCCGATGGAGAAGGACTTGGCTTCATGTGGCATTTGCAATTGGCGTAAGTGGGCACAAATAGAAGCGACTGGCTTGCTTTTTCGAACTCGGCTAAAATCGCTTATTCCATTACAGCGCCAAATTAGAAGATGCAAATGATAAATGAACTTCTTCATGGATGTGCTAGGAGGAACTAGGAGAACATTCCTTATAAGAGTGTGGCAATGGTTCGATGAAAAAATTACATAGCCGTGGCTTTCGCTTCGTCTGGAATATCTGCGAAATTGTTACCAGGTGGAAACACCTCTCATTTAGCTCTTATGCTCTTAAACTCATTGTTCGGGATGAGTGCACGATGGCACATACAAAATCTCTTGAGGTTATTGATCGATCGGTGCGAGTTTTGGGAAGAAATTTTCAACCATTCGGGAATTCATTCAAGCTAGCTCGTCGGTCGGGGGGTGTCATTTCCGCCTGCCATGGCAATCGCTACACAAACCAAAAGGTTAATCGTGTCTGGTGGTATGGAGAAGTACTAGTGCAGATCACCATTGAAGACCAAAGAGAAAAAGACGAGAAAGAGAAAGCGCTACAGAGAAGTGGTCCAGTCCAGTCCGGTCAGGTGGAGTCGTCCCACACTTCTTCTACGTAAACCCCACGCGAAGCCTTGGGCGTTGTCGTGACTCCTCACCTTCTTACAACACCCCCTAAGCCTGACATTAGTCCGTCTATCAATCAGTTAGTCATATCTCCGTCAGTTGTCGTTGCGTCGCTACACTCCCTGTTACGCCGCCGTCAAATCCTAGAATGCACCGCCGTCGTTGAGCTGTCTTCGCCAAGGGTTTCGTCTTCTTCCTTGTACTATTATTCGCTGTCATCGCTANCACCCACTGTAGCATCTCCTCCACGCCAGGCTTCCGGGCTGCCCATTTCTCTTATTGAAGAAAGTAATGTATTAACAACTGATATTTCCCCTCGACGTACACGCTCGGGAATTCTGCGTGTAGGTAGGCGGCAAAAGCGAGCACGTGTAACGCGCGATGTCATCGCATTTGATGAGGCGGATGAAGAAGGACCACAGGTTACAATGTATTCTACTACAACTACTTCTGCAGTAAGCAATATATTAGCACCTAGTGCTCGTAACTTAAATATGTTCGATAGCTTAAATGCGGGATTTGCTAGTCTTGGACTGCAAAACAATATTACTTCTACGCGATTACAACAAAACATGCCCAATTATTTTAGAGCAGCTTGTGCTAATGAAAATATAACACCTCACGCTAGCGGTATTTTCTCTAGTGCAATGCTCACCCCAGCTACGGTACCAAACACTTCGATCTTTTCAAATGTTGCGCCGCATTCTAGGGGTATTTTCTCTGATAGTATACCCAGTGTAGTTAGCGTGCCAAGCACTTCGATATTTTCAAATTCTGCGCCGCATTTTAGTGGGATTGTCCCTGGTAGTATACCTACTTTAACTAGCGCACCAAATATTTCGACCTTTTCTCGTGCTGCGGCACCTGCAATTAGACCTATTACTAGTATGCAGCAAGCGCAACACGCATATTTATTCAACACCACGGGTGGTGCTCCAAGCCTACAACGCAACAGCACCTTCAATTTCGCGCCGCCAGTATCTTCGCATTATTTTCCATATACGCAAACTTCGATGGCAGATATTACGCTTTCTTCTTCTAATATCGCGGCGCGCCAGGTGATGAGTAAAGATTTGCCTATTTTTTCTGGAAATTCCGAAGATTGGCCTATTTTCATAACAAATTATGTCCAGTCTACTGAAAGATGCGGATTTACCGAACAAGAAAACTTGATACGATTACAAAAATGTCTTAAAGGTGCTGCTTTAGAAGCAGTGCGGGGGAAGCTCATGCTGCCTAGCACGGTGTCGTATGCGATTGAGACTCTACGAATGCTGTATGGTCGGCCCGATGTCATCCATCAATCTCTTCAGTGCAAGTTGAGACAGCAGCCAAATGTAAGAATCGAAAAAATGGAAACCTTGATAAATTTTTCATTGGCGGTTCAAAATTATCGCGCAACTATGCAGGCGATTGATCTAGGAGATTATTTAAATGATCCCATGCTCCTAAACGAGCTGTTGACGAAATTACCCAGCGATTTAAGACTAGACTGGGGTCGTTATAGACTAACTCGCCCTCGTGTTGACATAACCGTTTTTGATGAGTGGCTTTTCAATTTAGCTACCTGCGCGAGTCAAGTCACGCCACTGAGTTACGCAGCTACACCATCAAACATAAGCGAAGAGAAGAAGAGCGGTCGAAAAAAGCAACATGCGAGAATAATGGTACACGACGTCGCGGCCAGCGAGCGAGAAAATTATAGTTGCCCGAAATGTTTAAAAGGGCATTGCTCGACAGAATGTGAAGAATTTCGTGCATTGAACAAAGACATGCGTTGGAAATTTATTAGAGATGCAAAATTGTGCATACGCTGTTTCAAGAAACACTTGATTCGTCGTTGTAGCTCTAAACAGCAATGTGGTGTGGATGGTTGTGAGCGAGCGCATAATCCACTTTTACATACACCACATTATAAGCGCTCTGTTACGTTTACAGAACAAGAAACTAATGTTCGGGCCGTACAAAATCCCATTCTGTTCCATTCGAAAGAAAAGCGGAGCGCCGTATTTCGCTATATTGGTGTAACGCTTCATGCGTATGGTAAGTCTATCAACACATGGGCCTTTATTGATGAAGGTTCGGCTTGTACACTTATGGAGCAAGACTTAGCAAAAGAGCTAGGTATTTCCGGTCCAAGGGAGGAGCTGTGTTTACAATGGACAGGTGATATTAAACAGAATGAAATGAATTCGCAGTCTGTTGCCCTGTGCATTTCCGCACAGGTGCCTAACGCTAAGAAATTTTATATGAAAAATGTGCGTACCATAACTGCACTTAAGCTTCCTGTACAATCATTAGACTTAGCTACCATATCTGCTCGAGAACATCTAAAAGATTTACCAATTGCTCCATACACGGCGGAACGAGCACGGATTCTTATCGGCTTGGACAACTTAAAGCTTATTATTCCCCAAGAAACTAGACAAAGGGAAGGTGATGAACTCGTTGCAGCTCGATGCAAAATTGGTTGGTCCGTGTATGGGCGTGGCAATGCAACTACAGAGTCACACCAACGAATAATGCACCTTTGCACTTGTAATGGTGATAAGCGCTTGGAAGAACTGGTTAAATCACACTATTCATTGGAGTCTGTTGGTATTCGAGAAACTGCACCACTGGTTTCAAAGGAAGACGAGCGCTCGCAGCGCATAATGTCGGCTACAACAAAATACCTTCCTCTGGAGAAACGATGGGAAACTGGACTTCTATGGAAGCATGATAAAGTAGAGCTACCTGATTCCCTACCAATGGCACGTCGGCGTTTACAATGCCTTGAGGCTAAAATGTCTCGTCATTCCGACTTAAAAGAATTTATGATTAACACAATCCACGATTATGAGCAGAAGGGGTATGTAAGAAGGTTGAAGGAAAATGAAATTTCCGTGGGTGGCAAAGCCTGGTATATCCCGATATTTACTGTTAACAATCCTAATAAAAACAAAAAACGATTGGTCTGGGATGCAGCTGCTGCAGTAAATAATGTTGCCCTTAACTCTGTTCTTATGAAAGGACCTGATTTGCTTAGATCCCTATTAGGTGTGCTGATACGATTCCGCGAGCAGCCGATAGCGTTGTCAGGTGACATACGTGAAATGTTTCATCAAGTTCGCATTAGAAAGGAAGACCAAGCTGCGCAACAGTTCCTGTGGCGAAATGGTGACAGCTCGAAGGCACCGGGGGTGTATGTAATGCAGGTGATGACATTTGGTGCAACGTGTTCGCCTTCTCTAGCAAATTATATAAAAAATAAAAATGCACTGCGTTTTCAACAAGAGCACCCAGTAGCTGNACGTTGTCAGGTGACATACGTGAAATGGTTCATCAAGTTCGCATTAGAAAGGAAGACCAAGCTGCACAACAGTTCCTGTGGCGAAATGGTGACAGCTCGAAGGCACCGGGGGTGTATGTAATGCAGGTGATGACATTTGGTGCAACGTGTTCGCCTTCTCTAGCAAATTATATAAAAAATAAAAATGCACTGCGTTTTCAACAAGAGCACCCAGTAGCTGTTAAGGCAATTTTAGACAATACGTTTGTGGATGATTGGCTACAAAGTGTCCAGCGAGAGAGTGAGATGATTGAACTTGCTACTATTGTACGAAACATCCATGCTGAAGGTGGGTTTGAGATGCGAAACTGGGTTTCAAACTCCAAGGCAGTTTTGCTCGCGTTGACTGGTAAATGCGAACAAACTGATAAATACATTGAGCAACCGGATGAGTGCCATGAAAAGGTTTTGGGGATGTGGTGGTCTCCGGGACTTGACATACTGCGATATTTTGTAAAATTCCCGAAAGAGATTTTCGATGAGAGCGTCATACCAACGAAACGACAAATTTTGAGAGTCGTAATGACAATATTTGACCCATTGGGTCTCTTAGGGTTCTTCATCATTTACGCAAAAATATTGATGCAAGAAATATGGCGCTCCGGGATAACATGGGATGAGCCTATTCGACAAGAAGAGTTGGAAAAGTGGTGGCGATGGATAGGATGTTTGCCTTTTATTGAAGAAATACGAATTCCGCGCTGTTATAAATCGGTAAGTTCAGCCGAGCGAATTGAACTGCATATTTTTGTGGATGCAAGTAAAGATGCTTACGCCGCTGCAATTTATTTGCGCGCCATACAAAACAATAAAGTTGCTTGTAGTTTGGTTGCCTCAAAAACACGCGTTGCTCCGCTTAAGCCTATATCCATCCCACGGTTGGAATTAATGGCGGCCATATTAGGTCTACGCTTAGCAAATTTGGTAACCAGCGAATTATCTGTTCGTTTGGATCGGCGCATATTTTGGTCCGATTCAAAAAATGTACTATATTGGATAAGGTCTGATGCGAGAAAATTTCAGCAGTTCGTCGCAGTTCGAATTGGTGAAATACTTGAAGATTCTCACGTTCAAGATTGGAGATGGGTCTCTTCTTCAGAGAATGTCGCAGACGACGCCACCAAATGGTCCACATATCCCGATTTTAATAACGCGTCTAGGTGGTTCATTGGGCCTGACTTTTTGAGCGGGCCTGAGGAGCAGTGGCCAAAAACAGACCTCAACGTCGCTAGCGATAACGAGCACGATCTGATTTGTCACGTGGACGTGAAGCAACCTACTTCTTCGCCATTAGCAGTCATTAGTCCTGATCCGATGCGTTTTAGTAAGTGGGAAAAACTGCGAGGTGCTCAAAGGTATGTTCTGAAATTTCTGCGTATATTATGGCAGAAATGCAAGCGACCTGCAAAGGTTGTAACTTTGGTAGAAAAGAGTGACATGAGGAGCATTGAACATGTCGTCATACGAAATTGCCAAGAAGAAGCCTATGGAGAAGAGATAAAGCAATTACATCGTGGCGAGCCAATATCCCGAAAGAGTGGAATCTACACATATTCGCCATATTTAGACAATTTTGGAATGCTTAGAGTAAAAGGAAGAATTGATGAACTACGAATAGCTGATTACGATACTCGGCGTCCGATAATTCTCCCTCGTCATCATCAAGTAACCTACCTTATTGCAGATTCTTATCACCGTAAATTTCATCATCATCACAATGAAATTGTGGTAAACGAAATGCGGCAGCGCTATAGTGTTTCCGGCTTGAGAGCACTAGTTCGAGAAACCGCTAAGAAATGTCAACTATGTTGCAACCGCCGTGCACTCCCACAACCACCAGAAATGGCCGCCTTGCCACCTGAAAGGTTTGCAACATTTTCTCAGGCATTCACAAACACTGGTATCGACTATTTCGGTCCATTTGAAATAATTATTGGTAGGCGCCGTGAGAAGCGATGGGGAGTGCTATTCACGTGCCTTACCGTTCGCGCCGTGCATTTGGAAATAGCTACCTCTCTTTCCACGGATTCATTTCTGCTGGTGCTGAAACAATTTATTGCCCGCCGCGGTGCACCCCGATGTATTTGGTCGGACAATGGCACAAATTTCCGCGGGGCGAGTCGCATACTACAGAACGAAATTGAGCGCTTCTCAACTGATGAACTTAAGCATCGCTATCCTGAAATCGAGTGGCATTTTATACCTCCAGCCGCGCCCCATATGGGAGGCTGTTGGGAAAGAATGGTTCGTTCGGTGAAATCTGTGCTAATGGACATCCTACCAACTACTGGCTTACGAGAAGAAGTACTAAGGGCAGCTATGGCTGATGTGGAGCATATCCTAAATTCACGTCCTCTAACGTACGTTCCCCTCGATTCGCCTGAAATGGAAGCATTGACGCCTAATCACCTTCTCGTAGGCAGTTCCAGCGGAATACGCGAACATGAGGCAGAAAATGGGGACGGTGGTACATTGAGCAAAAATTTTCGAATTGCATGCCAGCTTGCTGATCAATTCTGGAAGCGTTGGATCCGGGAATATGCACCCTGCCTAACACGACGATCCAAATGGTTTCAAAATCCTCCCAATCCAATTGAGGTAAATGATGTTGTGATTATCGTAGATGATAACGCAAAGCGAAACACCTGGAGGAAAGGTATTGTCATTGATGTCAATTGCGCAAAAGATGGAGTAGTGCGCAGCGCAGTTGTTCGAACAGCCGACGGATTGTTTACGAGACCATCAGTTAAGTTGGCGAAACTTGATGTAAGGAGGTAAACCCCGTTCATTGTACGCACGAAGTTTACGGAGGGAGGGATGTTACGCCGCCGTCAAATCCTAGAATGCACCGCCGTCGTTGAGCTGTCTTCGCCAAGGGTTTCGTCTTCTTCCTTGTACTATTATTCGCTGTCATCGCTATTTCCCATTATGCTAAAAGTATACTGAATTTCTTTCCTTTTACGTTTTTCCTTCGACAACGTGCAGACTTAAAATTTGCTGAATAATTGAATTTGTTAATTGCTAGATTAAATTGAATTCAATCCTAATTGAAGTTTATCTGTATTTAGTTTGCTGCACTTCAATAAATATAGTAGTTAAGTCTCTTGTGAGCAAGTATATTTTTGTAGAAGAAAAAACACAAGTGTAAGAAACTGAATTTATACATTTGTACAAATCTGATTGATTCTCAATAAATTCCAGATTTTAGCTTTTTGTCACTAAATTGATGCTGAAAATACTGTTTTTACTTGAGCTCACACTCCCTCTTCCCCTCTGTTGCTCAAGTGCAACTCCCACACCGAACACTAGTGCTTAGCACTCCAGCTGAAATCCTTCCCAGAACAAACAAGAATTTCACATAATATTTTATATTTTCTATAATGGTTCTAAATTTATTATTTCCTTTCTCTATTTTGTATATATCTGTAAAAGTATATCCTAATGCCAACTAATTCCTACGGTGCTAACTAATACATAAATATTAATAGTATCACCTATTTTTAATTCTAGTTCTCTTCACTTCATCTAATGGTTTTCAATTACTTCGTTAACAGCAAAACCTACGTAATCCTATATATGTATATTATTGTACGCTTATCTACGCTTATTGCCTACGTTGTTGTTGTTATTGTTGTAGCGGCTACAACAACCCCGCCCAGGACGGTTGGCATCTCAGTCGTTGTCGTCAAGTTCCACTAACGGCAACCCTAGGAAGCGTGCAACTTCTGTGGGGTTGGTCCACAGGGACAAGGCCGTTAGGGTTGTAGGGTTTTCCGGGCATGCGAAGAGATGTTTCGAGTCATGTGGGGTCTTTTCGTATTCCGGACACTCATTCGGCACATCCTCATTCAATCTACTCAGGTAGGAGTTTAACCTGCTGCAGTAGCCGGAGCGAAGTTGTGCTAATGTTGTACGCATCTCCCGAGGCAGATGAAGCTCCGTCTCGTCTGTGTCCGGGGGCTGTATGCCTAGAACGGTATTCACAGGTCTGGAGTCTACATAACTCGAGACTGACTCCCTGCGAATGCCGTTCAGGGCCTGTCGGTAAGCAGTCGGGTTTAGAGGTTGCTTGATGAACCTCTGGACTTCGTCCGTCAGTTCATATAGATGCCTCCTGACGTGCCTAGGCGAGGGCT